TTTTTGTATAGGGGAGGGAATATACATTTCTGGAGCTATAGGTTATGTGCCTTGGGGACATATAGATATGCATCTTGCCATGGAAGAGCTCTTGGTTGGAGAACTTACATCATCTTGAGATTTAAAAAATGAAGAACCCAGCTTCAGGACAATTGTGAAAGTACTTGGAAAAAAACACAAGTAAAACAACTGTCTCCTCCTTCATTAGAAACATTTGTTTGAGCTAGCAAAGTGTGATGAACAAGTTGTTGGTTTATTTACAAAATATTCTTTTCTTGTTGTTTCTCTGTTTTCTCTAATATAGACATATTGTTAAATTAGGCAATGTAGTACACATTTCCTATATGCATATTTTTAACCATAGTTCACACCGAGACCTTTGTATCAAAATGGCATGCATAAAGAAAACCTGGTCTGCTTCTTGGCTTTAAAAATGACATTTTCTTTCATCCCGAGTTAACATACCAAATTTTGTGCCACAATACATTGGATCAATTTTAAAATACCATGTGATGCCATGTTCTGTTGTGTATCTTAACACACAGTAAGATGACTTTTCCTCTATAATTTGTGAAATATTTAATTATACTTCCTACCTATTATCCATTCGCCTTCTTTGTCTCAATTTAAGGCTTCTCTACATCCTGGAGCTGGTACAGGAATATTTTTTGCAATCATTCTGGTCATTGGAATCATTGCTTTGGTTGGATATTCGTACTTCAGATTTAAGAACAGAACCATCCAATTCCAACTTTTCAGGGTAAGAAAAAGCATAGTAACATAAACTGACTTGTACATGGATATATACACACACACACAAATATATATAAACTTTGATCATGCAAGGAAATCAAAAACAATGAATATGTGATAAAACTGTTATTTTGTACAAAGAACAGATTTATCAGTTCAGCTTCATTGAATAGAGCGTGCAGAAAAGGAGAAAGAAATTGGCATCATGCCTGTTGAGTTAGCTGTGCTCTACTGAGGATGCTATTTCTGGTGACTATAGTCTAACACCAGAATAAAAGAATAATAATGGAGTTGGAAAGAACCTTATAGTTCATCTAGTCCAACCCCCTGCTCAAGCAAGAGACCCTATACCCGTGATGGCGAACCTATGGCACATGTGCCAAAGGTGGCACGCGGAGCCATATCAGTGGGCTAGAGAGGCTCTGGAGCCTGGGGAGAGCAAAAAACGGGCCTATGAGGCTCACTGTGCCATCACGTGCCAAAAGCGGAGAGAGCGCAGGGGGGGTCGCGCGTGCATGCCTGGAGGATGGGGCACATAGAATTGTGGGTGTGGGCACACGCATGCATGACCCCTCCCGCACTCCCACTTTTGGCACGCAATGGCAAAAAGGTTAGCCATCACTGCCCTATACCATTTCTGACAGATGGCAGTCCAGTCTCTCCTTGAAAGCTTCCAGTGATGAAGCTCTCACAACTTCTGAATAACAGAATAATCCTAACCAGAATGGATTCAACATTTCAGTCAAGATGGAATATAATCTAGAAGAGGACAAGCAAGGGATATAGAAGCACATGAGGCTTAGTTTAATGCAATGATTATCAACCTTTTCTTCACCACGGACCCCCTTTAAATACCTTTTGTGGCCAAGGACTATGGCATTGACTACCAAGACTTAATTCAAGTTTTAAATCATAACATTTCTTCAAGCCTTTACAATCCCGCAGTGATCTGGGGACCATAGGTTGAGAACCACTGGTTTAGCGAATTCCTGATAATCAAATCCTAGTATTTAAATAACTTATAAATACAACCAACAGTTCTGACTTTCCTGTTTGCTTTGCTTTTGATGTCAAGTCATCTTGACTTCTGGCAACTGGTTGGCCTTTTTTGGAAATGACTTCCCATTGCCTTCTTTCTATGACTGAGAGCGAATAAGTCACCCATCTGGTTTAAGCCAAAGGCAGGATTAGAATTCATGGTCTCTCAATTTCCTAGCCAAATGCCTTTAAGTCAGACGTGGGTTTCAGCGGGTTCTGACCAGTTCTGGAGAACCGGTAGCGGAAATTTTGAGTAGTTCAGAGAATTGGTAAATACCACCTCTGACTGGCCCTGCCCCCATCTATTCTCTGCCTCCTGAGTCCCAGCTGATCGGCAGGAAATGGGGATTTTGCAGTAACCTTCCCCTGGAGTGGGGTGAGAATGGAGATTTCACAGTATCCTTCCCCTGTCACGCCCACCAAGCCATGCCCACCAAGCCACACCCGCAGAACCAGTAGTAAAAAAAATTGAAATCCATCACTGCTTTAGATACTACACCAAAGTGGCTTTCTTTGTAATGAATTTGAACATAAAGTATTCTTTTAAAAATGTCACATAGGAAAAAGATGATATTGATGTAACTACATTGGACAAAGCACCATCAACCAACATCTCAAATCCCAATTATGACACCTCATCAGCTCCTCCATCAGATCCTCCTTACGATCCATTTTCGGTAAGTTTTTATTCTGATGGGGTAGGATTTTCTTCCAAATATGTCAGAAGCCAGAATTTGGATTCTAAAGTAAAATATTGTGGCTTCTACTTAACTGACCACATGGTTTTATCTTCTTTTAGTAACACAATTATCAACACATAGTATGGGGTGTTTTTGTTTTTGTATTTTACTACTTTTTATTATCCCCTTTGAATTAGCATGCATTGGGACCATCAGATGATACATACTCACACCCCACAATTCTATCTGTGACAACATCAAAGCTAATCTTAAGCACCTATCTCGGCCATTTAGCTTTCAATATGTATTTTTAAATAGAAAACCCATCAATAAATTGTAGTCACTGGATTCAAACAACACACCAAGAGATGGGCAACACAGCTTTCCCTACAGCAGCACCCTGTCTGGGTAGGACTATACTTTTTAGGGTTGGCTCAAGATTGGCTTAAGTTTCCGGAAGGCAATTTCACAGAAATACCAGCTTCATCTCTGCACTTCTCAGGCAGGCAGGGTGCCCAAGTCAAAGTAACTTGTTTTAGGATCAAAACTTCACATATTTGGTGCCATGTGTGAACCCAACCATCCTCTCCGAGAGTCTGCATCTGTAGTACATCCTCTGCAACTAGTCTACAGTCTAATCCAGTCTACAGCCTGAAATGCTAAATATATTATCAACTCTATATTCAGACTAGACCCAACTTCACAGTTGTTTTATTATTAACAGAACAAGACCCTTCAATGTCTTAGTAGTGTTTCCTGTTCAATAATGTTTGCTGTCTGAATAATGGCTTTCAAATCACCCTGCTCTGCAGTCTACTAGAAATAGGGATTTCTCCGCAATGGCTCCATGGACATGAGGCATTTACATCTGGCCCCTTTCCAGCCTTCTTTTGAAGAAGGCAAGAACTTAACTGCTTTATCAGGTCTTTGAAAGCACTAATTAAAATCATTTTAGAGTGAAAATAACTCCTATGTTCATTTGTAATATATTGCTAACTACTTTTCCAACAAATTTTTAGAGCATTATTCATTAATGTTGATTATAACTTTTTTAAAAAAAAAAACAGGTTTCTGATGAGCAGCAGTTGGTGAGCAGTTTCCCACAATGATTTCTAATAATTATTTCTTCTTCATCGGAGAAATAGTTTTCCTACTGGATAATGAAGATACAAGGCAACACATCTGGTTCAGGAAAGGGCCATTGAAGAACATAATTCCTAAGAAAATTCCTAAGAAAACTGAATGTTGTTTTAATTTCTTTAGGAAGTAATTCTGTCATTTTAGTTATGCAGATGCTAATATCACTGTTTTCGTTTTTGCTCTCTTCCATGTATTCCAGAAATAATTAATATTACAAAATAGCACTTCATTTTGTAAAAGATTGAGGTATAGCTATGCTGTTTGGATTGCTACGAACATGTCATTAAAGGAATGTTGATATTCTTTTTTTAAAAAAATCTAAATGTTTTTAAATGATTTACTGCATATTACACAAGCAGATAGCATTACAATTTCCAGGGTTTTTTTTAAAAAAATCACACATTTATAGTTTGTGTTTGTAACACAAATTAATAGTAGCAAGGTTGGATAAGCTGCTCTAAAAGTATTAAAGGCTATATTTTATAATAGTACAATCTTAATTTTTATGAGAGATTTGAGTAGAATGGGTTTTCACGTTTCTACATACATCCATGCAACTGTGCAAATCATCCTTGCTTCCATCACACCCATTCAGTACACTAATTCTTATGTCTTATTCTTTTTAACATTTTACCTCTTTTTTTGAGGATAAAAAAAGGCTCATGTCATCTTGTTTGCAATAGATTCTCATTCATAAACCACACCAATACTAATTTTATATTCAATCTTCATTCATTTTTCAACTTCATTCTCGACTCTCTCTCTTCTAATTTTACCACAAAAATATAACTTTGTTTTTTCCTGCCACAGGAAAATTCTCAGTTCAATGTAACAAAATGAACAGAAACATGTGCCTAGACACCACCATTATGGCTTCTTCTCATGAACATTAATTTCTTGCAGTAGGTCACAATTAGCAATTATATATTTGCTAGTACCTACTAAACATCACTCCATTCTCCCTCTTTTAAAAACATTATACCGAAGTAGACAAATTCATCTACTTATTCTAATGTTCATCTTAATGAATAATACACTGTATGTGTAGAAGCACTTTATATACTTTCAAAGAATCCAAAACTCAAATTCTTTTAACCATTTTTAAAGAACATTTTACCCAATATTAAACAAAATTAACATATTGTGCTACCAAGAATAGTTTTTTCCCAACAATTACTACTTCAAAGTCTTTTGTTATAAGCTCTGAGAAGTGTCTCATCCATCATACTTACATTAACAGCTTATTTTAGATAACAAAACTACATTACCAGCATTGATTAGAGAAATTAAAGCATGTACTATGTGTTGATAATAACTCATTCTTCAAAGCAGCAAAAATTCTACTTGTAGATTTTTTATATATACTAATATTTGTAGAACTCACTCATATTTACTTTTGGTACTTTATTGAAATAGACACTAATTATCAAAACCATCAGCTATAAATTCAATTTACATATTCCCCACATATTCCCTTCAAGTACACAATGAATATTTTCACCGAAGAGATCTTTTCCCTCCGACTAGCTTTCTACCTTAAAACCTTGCACTGACTTCCATCCCAATTACAATAAATGCCTCTAATAAAATATTTATTAGTTTGTAAGTTAACAATGCTGTATTATTAGAAAGTTATTTTTGTATGTATGAAAATATTTTTCCAATAACAAGTTTCAGTTTAAGAATCTTATTGGCTTCAAATTGTTGACAAATGAACTTGTCCCACTTTTGGTATTCAGGTGGAGCATACTGACAAAAGTCTACAACAAGCAAAGTAATTGCAAATGAGAAGTTTCAGAATTTAAGGGTGCTTTAAAATTTCAAAATTACATCAGAATAAGGACATAAAACATAACATTACCTTAAAATATTTTGCAGCTGTGTATGCAAAGATTCTCCACAGTCACTGTTCATGCACACTTTTTACAATATTTGTCATTAAAAAACTTGTAGCAGCAATGAGTACTTTACACAAAGAAATAAAATTTTATTCTGCAGTAAAAGAACCCTTCTTTAAAGCAGATCTCAAAATGTTGAGCATGGTGAGCAGGAATGCTCACAATTACTAGGTTCACAGGACTTGATAGCATACGCTAATACAAGAACAGCTACAGTAAGCTTCAAAAGATTTCACACTATGCTTAATTTTCAGAATCTGTGCTAATTTGACTTTTTAATATTGTGAACAAATATCATTCAAAAGACAGGAGAACTGATACAAACTGTTCAAATAATGTCAAGCTATGAGCTGTAAGTTTGTGCCTAATTCTGTCCTTTGGGTTTTCCACTTAGTGTTCTATTGTTAGTTAAAACAATTAGGTGACAAGATATGAAAATAAACTATTTTGATGGGTAACAACTGTTAGGTATTATTCTTTCCTTCAGTCAATCAAAATCATCCATTCTGCATCAATATCTTTCTGTGTCTACATCGTGTCACATTGCAACAGCACTGTATGGTCAGCTCAAGTTCCTCAATAAATAACATGATCAGGCAATTTTACAAAAGGTATCAAAAAAGTGGGGACAATCTATGAAAACCTTTCATTCAAAATGCAGCTTTGGGAAGAAGTATGGCTTGGATGGTTGAATCTATATGAAAAGCCTATGGAGCTACATGAATCCTAGCACTAAATGAGGACTTATTCATCTTTCATAATCTTCTGCACATCTCACTTAATAGTGCACTGCAGCAGACCTTCATGACACGACCACTGAATACCAGGGTACAAGAACTGCTATAGTAGCAGAAATGCAATAATACCAGTTTTTTTCTGGTTATTTGTTTAGGGATTTAAACTATGAAAGCAAAGGTGAAACCAGGAAATATACTCACACATCTTGAAAATCTGTTTCAAGGCATGTATTTGGAACCAGAATGGAATAATGCCAGCTACTGCTCTTAAGTTACACAACAAAAAATTTAAAAGTATATGTAGTTGCAAATTTCTATATAGAAATGCTTTTGCAAACTTGAAACACATATTTATGTAAACAGCATTTGAAGAGCCAAATTATTTCCTAAAATAAATTCTGGTTATATTTTGAACATCTTCATAAAATACATGAAGTTTTAATATATATTTTAAAGGAATGTTTTGAGATTTTCAAAAAAGATGGACTGCAATGCCCGTGAAAATTGCATTCTACTGCTTTAAGCATTTTAGAAATTTCTGGCTCGCTTAGAAACAACCAAAATTGCAAATTAAAGAGTTTTAAGTTTGAATAATTTGAGTAACCAGTTATTTATCAACTACCAGGTAGTTTTTTTTATGGGCTATCAATAGGTTATAGAAAAAGTTGTTTTGTTACATTAGTTGAAATAGCTTACTAGGAAGGGGACTGTTAGTTCAAAGCTCTTGCTATATTACTGTTTTATTATCAGCCTAGAAATAGTGTTAGTATTTATGATTTCAACTTAATACATAATTTGTTTTCCTGCTGAACTCAAGAAGTGAATAAAATAAATACGAGTTTTAGTCCTGTTAAGAGCAGTGGGAACTGGCTCTTACATTAGCACAGTGAGAATTGGCTTAAAACCCTCCAACATTTAGCCTACATGATTTTTAAGTGCATGGGAATAAGAATTTTAAAAAGAGACACAAAATCTCCACCTTTTTTAAAAATCATAACCGTTTCACTCTTATCATGAAGACAGGCCAATACTACTATTATACATTATTAAATTATTATTGCATTCAATGAAAGTTGCTCCCAGGAAAGTAAGCACAGGACTGCAGCCTCAATATATAAAATATTGTTCTAAAGTACATGATGACATTCTACTAAAGTGCCCAGTGCTATAAGGCTTTACTCTATATCTACCATTAATTCTTCAGAGCTGTTAAATTATAAAATTGTTCAGATTGAACACACTTTAGTAGATGTATTGTTCTATTTATACATTTGTGGTGCTATTGTAGTGTTTTTACTGCCGATTTTACTAACTATCCTGTCAATTTTCATTGGCTGGAAATCTCTATAATGAAAGCTTTGATTGGTTTAATGCAAGCAATGCAATATTGTATTCTACTTATAGCTTTTCCTGGCTGTTTAAGGAAAATACAAGTCAGTGAAAAATAAATGGCTGAGTGCTCTATGGACTTAAATCTCTCATCCACTAAAAATTGTTTTCTAATATTCTGATAAAAAAAAATAAGAATTACCCAGCCCTGCATGGATTTGAAACCTTGTTAAGATTTTACATTCCTTATAAAGCACAATAGTAGCTGTGCTTTTATCTGACTAAATATTTAAATCAAGCCTAAATTTCAAGTAATGACCTTTGGTTAGAACAGGGCTCTCAAACTTGCGGTCCATGGGCCAGATGCGTCTCATGCTGGCCACGCCCATGCCCGGTTTAGTGAAGGGGGAAAAAAAGTTCCGATATATCACATGACAACGTGAATTTGACACCCCTGGGTTAGAGTGTATAAGACAAATATTATGGGCTATATATAAATTTATGTGCAAATAATTTTCCATTCCAGTAAATATTCAACTGGAGGAAAAAATCAGTTCTTAGTGCAACCATAGTTTTTATCAATTTATCAATTCTCACTAGAAAAAAATAAGAGAGCAGCTGAATTGACATTTGCTCCATAGCATGTACAGCAAGAACCAATTACTATAGAGAAAGTTGCTCTTACAATAAATATCCTTTAAAAAGCCACTGCGTAGTAATATGGTAACCATTACATTACAAACAAAAAACAAAAAATCTGGGGGGGCGGAAGGTTATTTGATCTGAATCATCTCCTGAAGAAATGGTATTCTGAATGTACCCGTGCACAACTGGTCAGACCACATTGGAAGTTCATGCTGCAAAGGAGTCCTTCGTGGATAGAACGTATAATCATGGTCATAGTTCAACAGGCAACTCAATGATGCCATGTAGATATCAGCAAAGCGAGACAAGCGCCTTAAGAAATAGGTGGGGTTTTGGTCAGTCCTGAATAAGCTTCCAAATTGAGAGTTGAAGAAATTCCTGTTCATTTCTCTGGTGAGAGAAGAAAAGAAGAAGAAAAAACATTTAGAATAGTCAGTGCATTATATGCCATGAAAAAAAACAACTAAAGGTGCTTTTTCAAAAGGCAACTGGACTCTCTTGCGGTTTTCTTCAGTTCTGCAGTGAAATGTTTTCGAGGAAAAATTACCAAGAAATTCCAGTTGCCTTATGAAGAAGCATCTTTGGGACAACCATGAAATACCATTCATGAAATTGGATTGAAAATCTCCATGGACGTACCATGAAATACTGTACTTCTTTTGGACCAGAGACATTTAGCAAGTTTAGGACAGATTTGTTCTTATATCAATAAGGCCTCGAAATCAAAACTGTCCACTGAAGAAAGGCCACTCAGGAAAGGAGAAAAAAAAAATATACTTTTACTATATTTTCATTTATGCCCCACCTATGCATGGGGAATTCAATGTAGAATGCATGGGATCTCTCATTTCTCCCCAACAACCACCATCCTCTGAAGTTTGGGCTAACAGAGGGGGACCAAAATAATTCAGTGAATTCCATAGTTAAAGGTGACTTAATTTCATCTCTTACTCTGTGATATATTAATTTCTCACAAGTGAAAGCATCATGTAACTGAAAGCAAAACTACACTTCTTGCCCAATCACTGATGGGGATAGATGAGCTACATGAAACTGAGATGGAGGTAGACAGAGCCAGAAGACATACACATTTAATTTATTATGTGTTTATGTTGTAGATTGCCCAGTGTCACACTGTTTCAGTTGGGTGGCCTATAAATCTTGAAAATAGACAGACTCTGCAAGCAACCTCCATAATTCTCGTAGTTGTAACTTAAACCACCTCAAATATGTTTGTGTAGGCTTGTAATTAACGTTATGAGAGACAAAACTAAAGCTAAAAATGTAAATATATCATTTTAAGAGTAGACATTCAGAATTCAATGGAGCTGAATTTCCTGTGCATTAATTATTACTATTAACAAAGTTATGAGGAAAATGAAGCAAGGACTAGTTTTATTTTATTAGAAATTAATCAGGTCCAGGATGGATTTGATTTAAATCAAGTCAATTTAAATCACGATTTAAATTGTGGTTTAAATCACTAATAAAAAGGCTTGATCTAAATCAACTTGTTTTAAATCATTTTAAATAATTTTAAATTTTAAATAATTTTTAAAGAGCAACTGTCATCTCTGTCCTGCAGCGGCTCCTCCTCTGACCCGCTGTTGACTCACTGACAGTCCCAATATAGCAGAATATACAGCCTCATGCTACATAACTAAGCTTCGTTTCATGCTGAATAAATCAAATTCTTAATGTATCTTAAATAGAAAACTATCTTAAGATAGATTTTTACTTCAAAAGCATTTTATTAAAATAAATTTGATTAAAAATAAAAAAAAATCCGATTTAAATAAAAAAAATATGATTAAAAAAAATTAAATCATCAATTTTTATCCACCCTGATCAGGTCAATTTTTTAAAACTTAGAATAAGTACCATAAACGCTCACAGATAACCCGAAAATAACCCCCAAAATTGAGTTCAGCTTAACGTTGGATAAACCACAAGTATCCAATTTTGATCTTTTAATATTTACCGCATTTCCTTTCTTTCCCTTTTCCATTCATTTAATATCATTTGGCAATCAGGATTCTTGTGAATCTGAAATGACATGACATAAACAATATAAATTTGTGAGTTTTAAAATAGAACATATTTAGACACGTTTATAAAAATAACAGATGGGCAGGCAGGGCCGGATTTAGATGAAAAGAGGCCCTAGGCTATTCCACTTATGAGGCCCTTTCACCAGTGGTGGGATTCAATTTTTTTAACAACAGGTTCTGTGGGCGTGGCTTAGTTGGGGGTGTGGCTTGGCAATCATGTGACTGGGTGGGCGTGGCTATGTGCATAGGGACTACTCAGAGGGCTGAAAAAAGTCATTTCTGACAGGTCCTCGCACTTTTGACCGGTCCTCACAGTTATGACCATCCTCACATTTATGTCCGTGCAGCTTTCTTAACAACCATGTCACTCATTTCACAACTGCTTCTCTTCACCATGATGACAAGATAGGGCAAAAACGTAAAATGTGAGGACAGTCGTAAGTTCGAGGACTGGTCAAAAGTGCGAGGACCAGTCAGAAATAACTTTTTCAGCCCTTTGAGTAGCCCATATGCATAAAAAGATACAGCAATAGAGAGGGATGAAGGAAGGGAAGGGAAATTAGAGTAGGAGGGAGGGTAAGAGAGGGAGGAAGAGAGGAGGAGAAGGAGAAAGGAAGAGGAAGTAGGGAGGAGAAGAAGAGGGGGGAAGAGAAAGTAAGAAGGAAAGAAAAGAGAGAGGTGGTAGGTTTGAGGAGAAAGATTGCTGTACAATAAAAAAGATGAAAGGGAAGAAAGCCAACCCCAAACAAATATAAAGATATTAAGATAAAGAATGAATTGTTAAACTTTAAAGAATAAAAGAGAACAAATATGAATAAATAACAATAATTAGAAACACACATACAAACATACAATGTATTTTCCTTGAACAGAGTATTTGGCCGGTTCACAAATTTAAACAGTGTTTAGTCATTTCAATTAAATTTAAAATTTCTATATTTCCTTTTTTCCATATTTATTCCTCATCTATTTTTGTAAAAAACCAATATTACCCTTCATCCTCATCTCTAATCTTAATCAAATTCAATTTTTCCCTTCTATTCTATATTATACCCCTTTCCATTGTCATCTATTTTTATATCCATCCTCACATTGGTTAATTATGTAATATTAGTTGTTTAATATAAATTCAACATTTTAATATAAATCAATTAGTTATATAACCTTTTTTGTATATTAATCAATATGAACATGAATATTCCAATTATTTCCATGCAATCCAATTTCTTACAAATCAATTAATTATATTTACCAATAATAATAAACCAAATAATTTCCCCCATATATTCCTCCAAACCACAACTTAACCATTTCTGCTTTCAACACAATATACAATTAACAGTATCTCAATTATTACAATTCCCTAGTTAAATAGAGCTTTTTTTTCTTTTGTGTTTTAAAATCTTTCCCTAAACTTCCCATTGTTTGTACCTACCTTTTTTGATGAGGAAAAAGAAAAGAATTCTGCCTGCCTAATTTTCCAACCTTGCAGCAACAGCAAAGCAGTTTCAGATTCGTTTCTCAGCATAGGTAGGGGAAAAAAAATCAACACTCTTTGCACGGAAGCAGAAGAGCCCTGAGCAAAACAGCTGAGACAAATCAGCTGAGAGCCGGGAGGCCAATTAGCCTATGCTGAAGCTCTGGGGGGCCAATAAAATTACAAAAAAAACACCGAACCCTTTGTTAAATTGTTGGCTCCCCCGCCCCTCGCCCACCACTATTTATTGGCAATAAATAGTGGTGCGGAGGGGCGGGGCAAGCCAGCAATTTAACAAAGGGTTCGGCTGCACCACTGGCTCTAGGGCGGCCCTTTGAAGCCCCGCGGCAAGAATTTGAAGTTTTTTTTCCCTCTAGCCATCGGAGGCAGCAATAGATTGGGAGTGGGCTGGGTAAGCGAACGGCCGGCGATCCAACAGAGCAGAGAGTGAGGGTGAGTGAAGGCGTGGAAGCTGCTTTCTCCATCCTGCTCTCTTGCGTCCGGAGCCCACGTGGATCCCAGGCAGCGGAACTCAGGCTAGGGAAGGGGTGGGCAATTGTGGCTCTTTTACAACCTGTGGCCTTCAACTCCCAGAATTCCTGAGACAGCCAAGCTGTCTCAGGAATTCTGGAAGTTGAAGTCCACAGGTTGTAAAAGAGCCACAATTGCCCAACCCTGGCTACGGTAGGCTGGCGCCGCGCGGGTGGGAGGCGAGGGGCGGGCGAGCCAGCAATTTAACAAAGGGTTCGGCCGAACCCCCTAGAACCCCCAGAATCCCACCACTGTGTAGGCCCCTCTTGATCTTGAGGCCCTAGGCTGAAGCCTAGTTAGCCTATAGGAAAATCCGGCCCTGTGGGCAGGACAGATTGAACAAGGAACACGGAGAAAGGTTTTATTTTTTAAAAAATAGCTGTATCTCCCGCATACAGTGAAAGCAATATAAACGTATCTGTGCACTGTGTTTTCACATAATAATTTGAACTGCATTATTATCACCAGGGCAAAAGAACATTAGGTAAAGGTCCCTCTAATTATCAAGTAGACAGAGAACTGGAAACAAGAGGTTAATCTCATCTCTATCCTATCTAGAGTTTACATGCATCAATTCTGATGGTTTCTACTGTATATTGCGTATTTTTATCTGCAATATCAGCAATGGAAAAAAAATAGAGGTGGGGATGAAAGGAATGGGGAAAAAAAACAAACCTGCATGTGTTCCAGTAATCCAGTGAGAGTTTGCAGCCAAGTCATAGTCTGAATATATTGCTCTGTATTCATGATCTTAATCTCTCTTCGTAATTCTGGAATAATTGCCCCTGTACGCCAGCCGTGCTTTAAGGTCAAATCCTTTTTTTGGCAACCAAGATCACACAAAAGAAAAAAGAAAAGAAAAGCATTTGTGTTAATTTCATTTAAAGCATACTTTCTATTCCTTCAGGTTAGATGCCATCCGAAGATATCTGTACTTTGACATCTTAGTTATATCGTCATGCAATAATTAAAAGTGTAGAACAAACCCATTCTAAACCAGGTAATCAGACTTAAGGGCAAGGGGGTAAATAAATAAAGCACAACTGATCAGATATTGTTTGGTCAGAAGGGTGAGTAAATTAAGAGAAAGGAGTTTAGGATCAGAAAATGGTAAAATATTAACAGAATCTGAATTAAATAAATCAGGGAGATATTTTTCTCTTGTTGGTTAGCAATTTTTAACGATATAAGAACAGTATAATGTGTACCAGCAGGTGCAGGGAAGGTTATAAGTTTGGAACTCTGAGTTCTATTTCAATTATTATTGCAGAATGAGTGCTACTAGGAAGGAACAGGCTGCTGAAAGCTGTATAAAACAAATTCAAAAAATATACATAGCAATAAGGTAAGAGCCTTGTGTCTTTTCTGAAGACCAGACTAATCCTACTCATGACTTTTTCCCACTTCTATTACCAAATAGCAATAGCACTTAGACTTATATACAGCTTCATGGTGTTTTACAGCCCTCTCTAAGTGGTTTCCAGAATCAGCATATTGCCCCCAACAATCTGGCTCCTCATTTTACCCACCTCAGAAGGATGGAAAGCCAAGTCAACCTTGAAGCTGGTGAGATTCGAACAGCCAAATTGCAGGCAGCCGCGGGTAGTCAGCAGAAGTAGCCTGCAGTACTGCACTCTAACCACGGCGCCACCATGGCTAAATATGGTCCTTTGCTCTTTTTCATTTTTAAAGTAGCTGTCTTCTTTAATTAATTTCATAATACATAGCTCATTCTTCTGGATCACATCTGCTTCATATTATATGTGTGTGTGTGTGTGTGTGTGTGTGTGTGTGTGTGTGTGTGTTCTTTTCGTAGGCCTTTATGTGTATTTCTCTTTAGCCAGGTTCTTCCTACGTAAACCAAGATTTTTATGCAGCCGTAGCTCAGTGAAATCACAATCCATTAGTTTCTAGGCTTTTTTTTTCCAGCCCATTGGTCTCCTTAGTCTCCCAATATAGATAGATAGATAGATAGATAGATAGATAGATAGATAGATAGATAGATAGATAGATAGATAGATAGGTAGGTAGATAGGTAGATAGGTAGGTAGGTAGGTAGGTAGGTAGGTAGGTAGGTAGGTAGATATAGATATAGATATAGATATAGATATAGATATAGATATAGAGATATAGATATAGATATAGATATAGATATAGATATATATTTCTTCTAGCCAGGTTTTCCCTAGGTAACCAAGGTTTTTTGTAGCTTCAGCTCAGTAGAATCACATCTACTCGGTTCTGGGCTTTTTTCCTTTCTAACAGCTAGCAAGCTCTAACTGCTAGGTGGGAGACCTAAATAGATCCATTTCTAGCTCGTTTGCTTTCATCAGTAGGCCACACCCATATCTTATGTATCCTCCCTGTAAAGGTACAGTATCAATTTTCTTAAGTAAGAAAGGAAAAAAGAAAGGAAAAAAGCCCAGAACCGCACGCACACACACACACACACACGGAGAAGAAAGTACTTACAGCTAGATCACTGTAAATATGATCACCAAAATATAAGACTTTGGAACCTCGCCAACCAGTCAGTTTCAGAAATTCATACAAGTTACCCTAAAAGAAAGAATTGGGGGAAGGGAAGTAGTAAACACCAAGTTACCAGCAAAATTTTGTTACTGTTAATCGAGAAATCTGATTTCAATGCTCTAATTAAAGCAAAATGTCCTCTAATCTACCAGCCCCGAGATTACATTGTTGACGTTATGAGTTAAGATTGACTAAATGAAGCTTCTCTCCTTTAAGTATTGCTTTAAGGAATATTCTTAAGATCAATTTTTGGGACAGGGGAAAATAAGAAATACTTACTTACTTTATTACTTACTTACATACTTACTAGCTGTCGTCTAGACCCATGATGGCGAACCTGTGGAGCCATATCTGTGGGCACGCAAGCCTCACTGGTCTAGACTAACTAGACAATATTTTTGGACTATTTTGTCTTGCACATGCAGTTCATGAAACTAAGTGCAGAAGACAAACTGTTCAATTCACATGATATAATTTGAAGTGGTAACAGAGACTTATGCTATGACGATGCCAAAAGCTAAATTTATGACTTAAAATGAAAGCAATTCAGTTGGCGTTATTCAAGCTTTCATTGAGCATTGGTAATTCTGGAGTTACTGTTTCAACTTACAGACTATTACATTGCAGTTCAAGTTGATCACAGGAAAATTCAGTATAGCAAATCAGATCAATAATCTCTATATTGATTAAAATGAGTAACTAGTAGAGTTTAACAGTATTTAGACAGAAGAATTCTCCAATCTGAGGTCTGAACTAGAATCCTTTTTAAGGCAATGGAGTTTATTTGCTTAGCTAAAGCCCTTTCTCCAGGATTCATAGTTACAATTTAAAATGAATAAAATAAAATGATTTCCTTTAGAAACAGCAAGGAAAATCCAGAATGATGGGGAATGAAATTAGTTTTATTTATTGCTATTTCTTTTTATGTTTCACAATGCATATTTATTTTTATCTCATCTTTTATTATTTTTATAAATATCTAATCAACATAATCATTTTAACAATATGGCATAAATAAGATTGCATATATATAGTATGCATATATATATATATATATCATGCAAATATGAAATAACCATTGTTTCAATTGTTTGGATATTCTGTTTTACTTCAGCATGATTGTTAGCTTTGAAAGTACAGGTATATTTAAAAAAGAATTTTTTTAAAAAAATAAATAGAATACCTGCTTGTAAATCTGGCCTTTCTGTAATTCATGAATTTTGTCCCAAAGCAAAACACCCCTTTCAGTCACTTTGCGGAAAGGTCTAAAAAAAGGGGGGGGGAGGAAAAAAAAGCAACAATTTGGAAAGAGATACCACTAGAATAATATAATCAGAGATACTGTGTGCACACACACATGTGCACGCACACACACACACACACAGAGTATCCATAAATATATCGCAGAGGGGGCTTTGTTATTAAATGTTGCTTTTCATGTCAGAGAGAACAATCAAGATGGTTTCCATGAAAACACAAAAAGATTGGCACAAAAAGATTGACAATATATATACACACACACACACATTCACATATACACACAGAGATATTGATTCAAGCAATACAATCATGAGGGTAACAATATAAATAAAATTATTCTAAAGAGTTGGCAAAAGATATATCTCAGCTACTCTTCTAAAGGCAGAGAGCTCAGTAGCTCAAGTGCAAGTTTTGAGCCTGGGGACCATGCAGGAGCAATTGCAGTTGGGCAATAGCGCATTTTCGGAAGGGTTTCTCTGGCTGACTGCAATGCTTGAGTGAGTTCATCACGACAAAGGCCATCTTAGAGATATTTATAACTCAGCAGCAAGGAACTCACCTTCTTTTATCATTGAAAAAATTTGGCTTCTCTGCCTGGACAATGACTACATCAAAAAGATCTCTCCAATCTTTTCCAACTATGAACTTCATGCCTCTGTCCCTATAAAAAGTAATCCAACATTTAATGACACAAGTATAACCAGTCTGAATTTTTAAAAGTGATAACTAATGGTTAACATTAAGATTAAATCTTTGACGGGTTTATGCTCAAAGAAACCACCTACACAAAGCTGCTAGGACTGTTTGTGATCAGGAACATCTTCTTTCCATGAGCTGCCAGCTTTGCTAGCACAGCACGTGTCTGCTCAGCATAACAAATGTATTTCTCTAGAAGACAAGAGAAGATAAGAGAAAAAAAATCATAAAGTTTTAATTGAATGAATATTTATAGCAAAGTCATCTTCTTTTTTTCTTCTTTTTTTTTTTTTTTGCATAAGTCATGTCACCCCAAATTCAGCATTATCACTAAAAACAAGCAATCTTGGAGGTGAAAAAACTTTGATGAAAAAACTGCAATGAAAAGCCTATTCATATACTAAAAGTTTAATTATTATTCAGGCTACTTAAGCAGTAGTACGGAAGAGCCCATATCTTTGGGGATGCTCCACATAGTTGCCACAGCACTGGAGATTTTAGTTCACAAACACACTGGACCATGGCAACAATATATGACCTTGATGGTAGCTGACTGGATGACAAACATTGCAGACATATGAACCATGCATGGAAATAGCCTTTTTATGGAAACTGGCATCACTGCATGTAGAATTTGATCTATTTTATTTGGCATTGCCTTCCCTTTTTTTTTTCAGACTCATTTCTGTAAACAAAAGTAAGTTCTTAAGAAAACTACTTAGATGTACCATGTAGATGAACTGATGACAGTGTAAAATTAATCATTGCTGAAAGATGGTCCAATCATAAGATTTCAGAGACATATTCTATAAGGTTTTGACCTGGCAAAGCAAAGACTCTACTTTTTAGGGAAGGACTATAGAAGCAAAGGTTTAATAATCTTTTCATATTTATTTTATTCTATTTTTTTTAAAAAAAATTATCCCAAACTTTACAAGAAGTAGCTGTCAGACCTGGAAGCCATCTTTCTACTTTTGTGCCTTCAGGCTTTCAGGCCTGCCACAAATTCTACTGTGGAAAAATGGAAGGGGGGATTGTATAGAGTGAAGAAGATATGTAGTCAAAATAGAATTCTTTTAGAAAGTCAAGGCCGTTGTGCCCTGCAGCTGTGCTGAGAAGAATGAGGAGGTATCTTCTGTTCTGGAGGATAACTGATTGGTTCGTATGATGGACATGTGGGTGAGGGGCAAGGACTTGAACTTTCTCTTGGGTGAGGAAAAACCAGAAACTCTCAGATTCGGGTTTTCCCAGATGTGCCAATATGACATCTCTAATAAAATTTAGCTTTGAGGAACTTCAAGCCTCTGAGTTTGATTTCGTTGGGGGTGTTACTTGGAACCCTGACAGTAGCATAACACTAAAAATGACACTAAAAATGCCAAAATCTTGCAAGGTATTGTATAAGCAGCATGAAATTTTGGCAATTCATTTATAAACAAAAATAATGCAAATGATTTGCAGGTGCCAGTTGGGGACACCTGCAAATCACTTGTCTTGTTTTTATTTACTATCTGGCATTCTCTGGAACTGGAATATATGGTAATTCAAAGGTCAGAGAGCTAATTGCAAAAAAAAAAAAAAATCCATTACTGGAAGAAAAAGCGTTTGCTTCAAAGAATTTCACTCATGCTCACCAATATCTGCTTCAATCGCACGGTACATTATCCCTTTGATGTGTACATCTCTGATTGAATCCTGTTAGGAACAACGGAAGCAAGAATGAGATATTTCTCTATATAAGAAAGAAAATAATTAGCAGGATCTTCTACCTCCAACAATTTCTATAATTATTTCAGTTGCTGATAAAGTAAATTGCTGGGAACATGGCAAGACAAGGTATTAGCAAACTTGTGACTAGCAACATTGAGAGTTATCCAAGAAAATAATTATTCACTCTTTATTGGCATCCTTCAGTCTCAAAAAACTATGGTACCATGCTCTGGAAAGAGGTCCTAAAACAGCATCTAGTGTGACTAAAAAGGCCAATTCGAGAGTGGCAATCCCTTCCACACTGAGGGCAGATACATTCTGTCCCCTGGCCAGCCCCCAGATTTCACTTTCAAATTATTCACTCAGGGACTATTAATAATATCATCCAATTTCCTACTGCTCAACTTTCTTTATCTATGATTAGAAAATAGATTGGTTTCAACCTTTAATTATATTATAGATTAATAGTTGTTTCCCAAATAAAACTCCAATTGTTTTGCACACACTAAGCATAAATCATGTTTTAGAAACCATAATATCTGGGCTCACACAATCAAACAAGCCAGATGATGGTTCAGGGTGAGCCTAATCAACATTCAAAATAAGGGGTTGCCCATATCAAAGTCAAAACTTTATATTTACTCAAGTTGTTCAAATCAAAGCCATTTGCTCAAATTATGTTAACCCAATGACTCTCATAAATTCAGTGTTTAAAAACCAGTGTACTAACAAGCCAAATTCATAAACCAGTGGCTAAATCCTGTTTACATTTTAATGTAATTTTATGCCACTTTCTAAAAGAAATTAAATTATGTTGCATAAATTATGTAAATTAAGTTCATATCTGGATGGTCGCTATGAAAATTCCATTCTGCTAATCACAGGAAGCTGAGTAAAATATTAAATGTTTAGAAGTCTATTTACCTCCTTCCTCCTTTGCAGTTTCTCAGATTAAGCATGGGGAGACTACAATCTGTTGCAAGAGTTTTTCACCCAATCTTCCAATCAATCCCAAATTCATGCAAATAAAGAAGTCTACAGTATATGTGTTTACCTAATCAAGGTTTTCGCTCAATTTTTAAGGTTTTTAGGTACTGCTTACACATTTTCAAGGACATTTTTACAACTACAAAATCTAGAAACTTTGTTTCCAAAGACCCAAATCTTGTTTTCAGTAACTAGATGTGTCAAACAGGAAAATACACATATCTAAAAATGAGCTAAATCTGAATGAAGCGAACATCTTTCATATTTTTAAAACGAATAGCAAAAACAAAAACAAAAAATCAAAAAACCCAAGCTATAAGTTTTTCTCTGGGTCTTAATGTTTTAACATAATGGTATTACCACATTTTTTGTAGTCATACGGTTTTTTATTTTAGACCAAAAGGATTATGGCTCTTAGAAGTGAAGAAATAACCATGTGGAATGTGCATCAAGAAACAGAATCCTATTCCCGAAGAATGGGTATTATGGGAGTTGAAGTAAAATGCAGCTAGAAGGTATCAGGCTAGGGAAATTCTGTTATATGGATGACTGTCACACTGGGATAGCCCAATACCTTCACATCTTTGTAGAGATGAACTGGCTCATAGTCAATATTGTTCTTCAGAAAATACTCATTCACACAAGACAGGAGAGTCATCTCAGGCAAGGAAAAGATGTCCATGAACTGTTTCATAGTGTGGCCTTGTGAACTCTGTAACCAAACATACCACATTCATGTATGTGCCATGAAACAATATCAGATATTTCAGAAAGTGTTAATAATGCTTTCAATCAGCCTACGAGCAACAAACAGAAAGATGACATACAATAACGTCTCTTAGCCTGGACCAGTTGCAATTTAGTCTCAGATTGGCAGACACAAAAACAACAAATTTTTGGCAGCATCTCCAATGAATATACAATTGGCTCTCTCTTTGTTGTCCTTAGAAAGATCTTTAAACTCATCTTATTGAAAGATGTTGTGCTAGCTTTTAAATTGTTCACACCTAAGTTTTATAAATTGGTGGTGATGGGCTCCAAGGCACCCATGGGTCTTTTTCTTGCCATTCCTCAGGTTCTGCCCCTCCTGTCTTTTTACATTAAAAAAACTGTGTCACTGCAAAGCAGTTTCCAACACGGTCTTTATTTCTAAGCTTAAGAGGCTGCAAATAGGCTCTTCAATTTTTCTTAGGACATAATAATGAACATTCCATCACTTTGTTGGGAAGGGACCAGTAACATTTATTGGTAGGAGAACAAAAAATTTAAGATGATGGCTATGGTCATGTAGCTATGGTTGCCTTCTTGACTTTGTAAAATCTCCCATAGATCAGGGGTCTGCAACCCCCGGTCCAATGGTTCATGGACCAACACCAGGCCAGAGCATGCCAAAAACAAGGCCACACAAACAAGCTCCATCCTTGGGATGCAGGCAGCATCCCAAGGATGCTATGGTCCCTCTGGTCCGCGGAAAAACCTCTCCCCACAGAACTGGTCCCTGGTGCCCAAAAAGTTGGGGGTTGCTGCTGTAGATAGTTGTGGTGTGTAAAGGCAATAGGAAGGAGATAGGAAGCACTCTGCTGGGAGAGGCAGGACATTTAATTGGATGGCAGACACTATTCTGCAAACTGGTCCTTTACATTTCTCTAGTGGTATCCATTTTATGGTGCAGCAAGTCTTCTGAGATACTTGGTGAAAACACCCACAACACACTCAAATTTGAATCATGGCCAGGGGTGCTATTCAGCAGGTTCTGACAGGTTCTGGTGAACCGGTAGCGGAAATTTTGAATAGTTTGGAGAACCGGCAAATACTACCTCTGGCTGGCCCCAGAGTGGGGTGGGAATGGAGATTTTGCAGTATCCTTCCCTTGCCATGCCACCAAGCCACACCCACCAAGCCACACCATGTTCACCAAGCCACGCCCACAGAACCGGTAGTAAAAATAATTGTATTCCACCACTGTCACTAGCCCATAAGAACTGAAGGCCCCTGGTTTCTGTTTTAAAGGATTTGTCCTGGATTCTAAATATGCTTTCGATTACTGCTTTAAATTTTGAAGTCTTAAAAATCTTTTTTTTAAGATTTTTGCCCTGCAAAAAAGCAGAAGTAATGAGACGCCTAGTTGTAAGTTAGTATTCTACAAAAGATGCCGGAGAAAAACACACTTATATGAATTCAAATTTCCATGTAACAGAAAATGACTCATATAGTTTTATTTTCTTCTTTATAATACCTTTATTAAGTTTCAACATCATACATTAAGATGCAAACAAATATAAAAGGGAATGATAAAACACATTAAAAGCACCAAAAAAAAAAGTTTTACCTTTCCATAGAAGTCGCTCATTTGTTCCAAGGGCACATGGGAACCATCATACATAGCAATTACTTCTTCATCTGGCACAACATTCAATCCTCTGGCAATAACAGCAGTAATATCAGTGCAAAAGCCAAGCAGGTTTTACAAATTAACAGGTATATGTACCATTTTCTAACCTGCCATAAGCAAAATACTAGTGGTTGGAAGAATTCTAAATTCTCTAATTGCTAATTGAGATAAACAAATTACCAAAGCAAAGCTCAGTAACTTTTGATTCCTAAAAACGTCAAGGAAAGTCATACTGCATGATCCTTGAACAGAAATATCTTATTATCATAGTTCCCAGGTGAGCTTTCTTTCTGAGAACGTGAACTGTACTGAAATGTTTCATGAAATGTGTGGGAAACCTATGGTTTCTTCTCTCTTTACTTAGGCCTTCCTAAGTAAATACAAGACGAACAGTTCCTTATTCTGCATCTGTTTTGCTTTCCCCCTCTTTTAAATTGTTAATATTTTAAATGTATCGCTTTTGTTGAATAGTTAATATTGTGCAATCCACGTTGAGATGCTTTTATTTAAAATATATTAAATAAAATAATTGACTCTTATTATCCTCAGTAGTAGCATAATACTAGAAGGTAGAAGTGCTATTCCCAGCTGTTAGATTACAATGAAGCATCAGAGAAATGTAAAATGTAATTAAGGTTATAACAGTGACAACTTGTTGACACTTGGAGGAGAAAGAGCAGGACAACAACATGATGAAGTTGTGGAAATAAAGGTTTCCACATTTGGGAGAATTTCTCATCATTTTGCTCCCTCCCTCCCAATTATTATTTTAGGTGTGTTTAAGCCTATCCAAAGACTTAATGCATTTAACAGTTTTTAGTGCATGACAAAAATTAGCCACCAGTGTTTGAGGACATGGCAATTTGTTAAATTAAGGGTTTCAATTTCAACAAAGAGTATTGTGGATGACATTCAGCCTGCAAAGTACCCCCACGCCTGTTTAATTCATGGGTTTTCAGAAAGTCATTACAAAGTGGCAAAGGAGAATTAATCTTCTCCCCAGTAAGGTATCCTGGATGATTTAATTGCTCAAAGACTGAAGGCAATGCACTGCAAAATATATGTAAATAGAACTAAGCCCTTGTGAATTCAATGGGTTTATTTCCAAGTAACAGAGTTCAAGATATTAAGTTTTAAATGCTAGGATAACTTTTTCAGTTAGCATCTTCCATCTTGTAGGTCCTAAATCTCTAAATTTCCTCTAAATCTCTGAAGACCATACTAATTAGGAAGCAAAGTCCAAAAACATTTTTGCCCACCAGTTTGGGTCAAATATTCTCTAGGCTAAAGCCTTTTATCTTAAAACACTGCAGATCTTTATTATATATTAAAAAATCTCTAGCATTATGGCATGCTGAACACTAATTTTTGTTTAGTAAATGCAATAGTTAGGTTATATCCCAATTTTTTAAATGCAGGAATGCAACCTAATAGAAAACAATTGCTTAAGAGAGATGCAACTGAGTTTTTAAACATTTGCAGAAATTGAACAGACTAAATAATCAATAAGACTGCAGAATTAACATTATGCTTATATCTGAATTTCTGTTGCGCACAAACAGAATGGTGATTCATGCTGAAAAATATTTAGAATCAGTCTTGTTAGCAACACTGATTGCAAACAGTGGAATATTTTTAGCAGCCTGCCAGTAGGGTTTAACAGCTGGGAGCAAGAACATTAGTCAGCTAATCCACTCCAGCTAAAGAAAAGATTTGACTTAGTTCGGCCAAAAAACATTATCTCACTCAGATCTTTACTGCAGCAGAGAATCAGTTTAATAATTCTGGTGATTTTTAAGAGAAAGCCCAGCCATCTGTTTCTCTCTCTTTTTTACTGGCAAACACCTAAACATATATTTAAATTTGACTTTCAAGTCCTGTCTTTTTAAAGTACTATAATCTGTATTTCTTGGATGTAATGGGAAGAATGGTTAAAGAATGACTTACAGATGGCATTCTGGGTTTTTCCATTAATACAGAAGATAGAACAAAGTGAAAGTCAAAGTACTGCATAGAGAATACAGGTTGATGATGAATATTTGATGATATTTAAACAAGGCAGGAGTTCATTCTACTCATATATTGCTGTTATAGTGAATTACAGGTGCCCAGAGGAAAAAAAATGCTTCCTGACTCACCTGTACACAGTTCCCAGTTGAATGTAGTGAAAAGCATCAATCTTCATTAATAATGCCTTTAAAGCAAGAAAAAATACAGGCTAAACTTATAAATGATCCTAAACAGTTTTGATTAAATTTCAGAGAAACTTTTTTTGCCTTTACTACTACGTATTATAAAGATATACTTCAGTTAATCAGTCTCCAATTAAATTTTATGACCAGAAATCTTAAAAGAGTTCCATAACAGCAACCCACCAGGGCTAATATTCATTGATAAATGTCTTTGCTAATTTTATAGAAAATGTTAGCAGCAGAGGCAGCTAAATGACCCATGGACATATTCATCAATTCCCATTTCCATGGTTATTCATCTTCATTTAGAACCCAAGGGTGCTGTTCTTGAGTTCAGTTGACAAAAGGAAACGCCATTTGATCCTTGTAACCATAACCCTGTGGTAATTTACAGAGATTTAAAATGAAATATTAAACGTGCTCCAATGATTTATGTTTGGCAAGCAGATTTTGGAGCATTGAGAAAGAGAACTGTCAATTTCACTTCTGTTTTGATTGTGAAAGATACAGTTTGGTTATGAGCAGCCTTTCCCCCCCTCCTGAAAAAAACCCCATTACATATCTAAAATTACATATTTTATAATTTGATTAGATATAGGAAGACAATGGAGGGGGCTATAGAATTATCGGCATATACAAATGTGACAGACAAAAGGAGGAAAATAAGGATTTTTTAAATTATACTTTATCTTAGTTCAAAGGTTAACTTTTTATGTCCCTCCTCATATCTTTTTATATTTTGTTCCTATGCTTTCTTTTAAATTTTTTTATTGGCTATATCCTTTTCACATCCCTTACATTATGTGACCCTAATAAAGATTGATACGAATCTCTCTACTGGAGTAAGCAACTGAGATTGACAGATAGCCAAAACGTTCTTCTGCCATTATAAAGCCAATTTCCTTTTTCTGTGAAGCCTCAAAAACAAAGAAGCATTTCAACTAGGGACAGTGGATTAAGTACTCTGGCACCTTTCCACTTCCTGAACCTGAACAGGATGCAAAATTGTGTGATGTATCTGCAGTAACACTTGAGGCAAGGTAACCAAGCAATCTGCTGAATTGTCATTCCCTCTGGAGCCAGAAGAGGCTGGATGGTTTGTAATCTGAGAAAATCTTATGCAGACCTTGAGTCTTTCCTAATAATTGTCTAACTGGTAATATTTTATATATGCTGTGAGGTAAATTTGATATTGGAGAAGAGTGAGAATACCATGGAAAGTGCTATAATTGAGTGAATCAGCCCAGAGTTCTCACTCAAAGCAAAAGTGACTAACCTCAAATTATCCAACTTTGGACACATTATACTAAGATCAGTTCTCTAGAAAAGGCTCTAACGCTGGGAAAGGTGAAAGAAAAGAGAAGAGGATGACCAGCAGCAAAGTGGATGGACCAATGGTGGTAATGAGTGCCATTGAGAGACTTGAAAGAACAGGAGAGGGTCAGATCATCATGGAGGAGAGCTATTATGTGGTTGCTAGGGATCAAAAACAATTTGATGGCACATAATTGATCAATTAGGTTGTAAGGAACCTTGAGTTTAATACATAAGATCTAATTTCTAATACAATTTCTATAAATATTATTTCAAATTTGAAAAGTAAACATGCTAAATTGCACTTAGCAACTATTTCAGACTATTTAGAAATGAAAACAGGTAATAACCATTGTAGTTCCAAATAAACAATCCATACTTACCCGATGCACATCATAATGAAGCCCTCTTATTGCAAAATTCGGGTCATAGTCATACTTTCGGATTTCTGCAGGATACTGGCAAAATCATAAAAATAATAGTAATTTTAGCACATAATATAAGCCATATCTCAATAGATCTAGCGAGATCCAGTTCCCTTTCTTCTACTTCTACAAAACACCTCTTTTGTTTCCAATTTTTATCAGGAAAGCTACATCATAATCTGTAGCCACACCATGGATGGAACTTAAGAAGGGGGAAGAGAAAGAACACAATTCAAATGTAGAAAAAATAGTTCTGGCTCTATTTATCCAAGGCATTACAACAGTGCTAGAAATTGCAATTAAAAGGGCTAATTACGAAAAACATTGGTTAATATTTCCTTCCCATTTCTCTCCTTCCCGTATATCTGTAACACTGTTCGAAAAATTTCATTACAATTTTTTACATTACAATTTTTAAAATTAGGAACTATTTGTTTGTAAGACATCATGCTATCATACGAATCCTCAGAAGAGTAATAAAAGAGCAAAAAAAAAAATCCTCTTAGACTACGGTATAATTTTTACCTGTTATTTTAATTTCAACTGCATTACAAATGTGTAATCTCATGCATCCACGGGAAGGCCAGTTCTAAATTCAAATATTCATTGCTTACTCTTTCCTTCCATTCACATCCATTATGCCTCTACAGAAGAGGAGGCTCTGTGAAAAAAATTTTCACACTTACTCTCTCTACTCAGAACTTAGAAAGCTGGGGAACGTTCATTAAATTGCACTTGATCTAGCTTTATTTCACAGGACAAAACACAAGTAATTCATTCTTGGCCATTATTTTGGTTCCATCCAACGACTAGCCCTGTAGAAATAGTTCTATTCCAGGCATGCACTAAACCAGAGATTGCAACCAGTTGTGTGTTAAGATCCAATTTCTTATTTACTATTACAAAGATATTTATAGATATGAATATATAGCCACTGACCTTTGGACAGAAATGCAGCCCTGGGTACTGTATGCTTAACAAAGTATATTGGGAACTCAGTTCACATAGATAACAAATATTCGCACCTTCATAGTATACAGAGGGTTAATACTTCTGTTTACTAATGCAATGAAGTCCTTTGGTTGGGACAGCATTCTAGGCAGCAAAAGCAGCAACTAAGATTCTATTTACTTTCAAAGGGAATTTTTTGAGGATAGCATAGTTGCATATTGCACATTACTGCATTAATCTGTTAATTGAATATTTTCGTCTCCCCATATAGTCCTTGACTTATAACCATTCATTTGGCGATTGTTCAATGAAAGTGACTTATGATGGGTTTTCATCATAGCATTCCCAGGATCACGGGGTCAAAATTCAGGTCTTTGGAAATCAGTATGTATTAACAACGGTTGGGGCATCACAGGGTTGTATGATCACCATTTGCAACTTTTTCAGCCAACTTCCAACAAGCAAAGTCAATGAGGAAGCTGGATTTTCTTTAAAAATCACATGATTCCCTTAACAACTACAGTGATTTGTTTAACAATGGCACAAAAAAAGGCTGTAGAATTGGGTGCAACTGTGGTCATAAGTTGAGGACTGCCTATATAGAATTTTCTAATTGTAAAGCAGGTTAACATGTGACCACCTTTGGTGGTTTATTGTAATTGACCAGTAAATGACCAGTCATAAGTTGAGGACTACCTGCACATTAGAGTTAGGAGTGAAATTCCCCACTCCTGAAAGATAACATAGCAATAATAATGCCTGTCTTCAAGATTTTGACAAACAATTTCCCCAAAACTGATGAATTTAGGCCAATTCAGATTCTAAGGAAACCTTAGCCTATGTTCCCTCCAGATGTGCAGATATCAATTCCCAGAATTCACTTTGCAGCATGGTCACTCCTGTGAATTCTGCAGTTATGGTTTGCAGATCTGGAGAGCACCTAGTTTGGGGAAGGATATCCTATAAACCGATCAATTTTAAGGATCATGATTACAGATTCTTCTAAGAAATTATTAAATTTTTAATTCTGGATGAACTAAATTCATTCTGAAATACTGCATGCCGTAAGCAATGGAGTCAACTTCTGGCCAATTTACATTCTAGAATCCACTTGAAAAATCTATGAAAGTTCTGCAATATAATTTATGTCAATACAACACAGCTCTTCCATATGCTTTTTATCCAGAATTTATTTCTTGGTATACAACTAGCTTAAGTATCTGAATTTCAAGTATATTATGGCACCACCCCATCCTGTTATATCTTACCCGATGTTCATTGATCAAAAGGTCCCGGGCAGCATTAAAAATCAACGTATGCAAATGCTTGGAATAGAAGACCAAAGTGTAGTCATAATCAAAGCCGTAGATTTCTATATCTGAGAGACTCATTTCATTGTTGGAAAAGATAGCATCCGGATTCAACAAATTACTCATGATTGACGGGACTAAGTCTATGGAAGAAAAAGACACATACAAACACTTGTTCAAGAATAGGTATTCATAATATATATCATAAATGGGATGCATCTACATAAAAGGTACTTAATGCTATTCTTTAGCTAACATGAGGCTGATTCTGATCTGTTTAGTAGCTCATTCAGATAATGACCACTCAGATTTTCCCAAAGGAAGATCAGAATATAAATATAATAGAGAAACAAAAAGCAGCACCGTTGCAAGCTAAGCAATAAACTTGCTTCTTGCCATTTACATGGGCAATTTAATGGAAGAAGCCAGATGGGGAAATTAACTCAGTAACTCAGGATGAAGTTACTGAACACCAAATCCATCTGTAATAAACAGATTAATCCACAACTGCAGACGAAAGTACATGGAGTCTATCACTAAATGTGCTGGATGAAGAGATATCACCCCTCACAGAGATCTGTCCTGCTGGGTTTCATGTTTTGCTCAATCCTGGTCCTAAGGCAGGGAAAATGATATGGTAATAATTTACTGGGAAATGCTAGCTGTCATGAACAACACTGTTCTGGAAGCCAGAAGTGAGGTCTAAATTGACATGCTGAACCAAAGGGACAAGCTGAGAGTACAGTTAAATAGTAACATCCCACACCATCATCTATGAGATTTCATTGTGGAGATGGCTGTTTCAATCCCCCCCTCTTTGTTCAATGGAGCTCAGTGGCCAGCACGAGAGGAACAGGTTTGTCCCAGATCATCACTGACCCAACATGTGGCTGGCTGCACTTTTCATTTGTTCCCCTTGAGATAAATGTCCCGTGATTTGATTCTTGGGAACTTTCCCCCAGTCCATTTTCATGAACAGATTACTTCCTTATGCTGGTAGAGTTAACTGGAATTTAGAACATGTCTTTGAAACACAAGAGGCTCCTTTTCTGGATATCCTTTGCCTGTTCAATATTTATTGAAATGGTTTGCCCTTTTGTATTTTAAATGTCCATGCCTATACTTTTGCATTGGACATCTCAGCATGTGGTATGACCTAGGTGATTTTATCTTAGCTAAGGAGTTAAGCAGAGTTTGGCCTGGGGAGCAGTTGAATGGGAGACCACCAGATGTACAGTAAGAGCTTTATGCTAGACCAGGGATGTCAAACTAGCAGCCCACAGGCCAGATGCAGCATACTCAGGTCATGCCCACTCCAGCTCCGTGAAGGGAAAAAACATTGCGAAACGTCACATGACGGCAACGTGACACCACCACTTTGACACCCATGTGTGCTAGACCAAGAAGTTAAAAAAAGACATCCTAGAACAGTGATGGCTAACCTTTTTGCCATCACGTGCCAGGAGAGGGGGGGCGGGGGAGGGTGGCGTGCGCACGTGCCCACACGCATCTGCATGCAACCCCACCCACCCCTGCTCCTGGCACATGATGGCCTGGTAGGCTCGTTTTTCTTTCTTACCTGGTTCCAGATCCTCTCTATGCATCTGGGAAGGGCGAAAACAGCCTTTCCCACTCCCTTGGAGGCCCTACGGAGGCCTAAAGGGCCCATTTCTCAACTCAACTCAACTCAACTCAACTCAACTGATATTTTTTGCTGTCCCCAGCCTCCAGAACCTCTCTAGGAGTCTCTAGGAGCCTCTCTAGGAGTCTCTGGAGGCTGGGGACAGGAAAAAAGTCACTTCCTGTCCCACCAGGAGTCGGGAAATGGGCCCTTTCAGCCTCCGTAGGGCCTCCAAGGAAGTGGGAAAGGCTGTTTTCACCCTTCCCAGATGCATAGAGAGGATCTGGAGCCAGGTAAGAAAGAAAAACAGGCCTTCCCCACCCCACCCCAGGCCCTCCAGAGGCAAGAAACAGCCTGTTTCACTACTTCTGGTGGGCCCAGAAGGCCTGAAAAACAGCTGGCCGGCGCGCACATGCGCCCCAGAGCTGAGCTGGCGTGCCCACTAATATGGCTCCGCGTGCCACCTGTGGCACGTGTGCCATAGGTTCGCCATCACGGTCCTAGAAGAATGCAATGGCAAACTACTTCCATAGTATTGTCAATGAAACTATTGTGATAAGTCACCAGAAGCCACATTTCAAAAAATAGTTAAAATAAAAATCCTCATTCAGGCATGAACTTGGTCATAAAGTTCCTTTGCAGATGAAACTGGAAGGCCATTTAGGCTATCTTGAGCTCATTGGAAGAAGTGCAAATATAAAAAATGAATTATTATGTTAAATGTAATGATGCTCAGTTGTTAAATTTGAAGTTCATAAATCATTTGTTATAGGGATCATAACTGAGACAACACTGAAGCACTTGAGTATTACACGTAATTTGTTAATGCAGTGTTGACTTCACACACTTAAAAGATTCAGACCTATGCACATATAAATGCCATATGACAAAATAACATGCTATTTTGTTGTATGATAAAGTCAATTTTAACACTAGCTGAACACATTGTTAGATATTTATGTACAACAGAGAGATTAAAAAACTGAAGAAATTTCCATCTTGGTCCAATCCAAAACTGCCTTTAAAAATGTCAAAACAGAATATCAACAGAAGATATGTAGAAAGAAGAACCAAGAAGCAGATCTTGGACAAATGAAATCAGGAAAAATTCCCACCGATTTTACCAATGTGGGGTATTCTTTAATTTTTACTGAGCAATTTAAAAGTTTCTACAGCTTTTATTTGACATCCTTACATTATATTATAGTTCTTTCCTATATTAACCTAAATTTAAAATAATCACCTCATCTTTCTTACATTATATATTTATAAGTTAGAGTAGATTGAAAAGATAAATTAGACTGAGATATAAAGATTGTACATAAGTATGTAACAGCTTGCCTATTTTATAACATTAAATAACATTGGTTTTATGGTTACAAAAAAACAAATCTATAATTCTTGTAGCAAAATACATGGCTAAAGTGTTCAGCAAAGCTAGGATCAGGATGCTATATTAAAAACTTACTTTTGCCAACAATTGCAATAACAACAAAGAAATTGTGGTAGACTTGCCTCTACAATTTAGGCAGTCAGTTCTCTTCTGTTTAACTTTTGTCATCTTTGTGGTTATCTTGACATCACATAAAGAACCTTTTGTTCATTGCCCAACTTTTCAGTTCTCATTATTTCGACCTCAATATTTTAATGTTTGAACTATTTGATTCTTGTTTTTTACTGCTGAATTTAATATTACATCTTGGTTTGCATTTTAATTTTTATAATTCCTTACAAATTGCCCAAAGCATTTATTGTAGCACAAAAATGTTAAAGCAAACCAAACTACTCCATGATTTGTATAGCTCACTTTCTCATTTAAAATATACCAGCACTCAGCGTTCTGTCTTCTGTTTACAAAACCTGCAACTATCTTAGTAAGATAAAATTGCTGCATGAAAAGCCTTACCTAATAAGGTAAATGAATGTATTCTGGAACACTCTTCAAATCCTGACGCTACATAACATAATTTGGCTTTTTAATAAAATGCATATGGCACCTGACAAATAGTTCTTTGAAATAGGCAAATTTAGCATAGCAGCATGATGCATCTGCCCTATTTAAAGAAAAGTATGAAAGCATAGATGAAATATACTTTCTGCAGCACAAAATCTAGAGAGAAAATTTAAGCTAACTTATGCAGCATCCAGGGCCGGATTTAGATGAAAAGAGGCCCTAGGCTATTCCACTTATGAGGCCCTTTCACCTATAGTGAAAGTGTAATTTTAATTTTGCTAACAATTTGAATGTAGGCCCCTCTTGATCTTGAGGCCCTAGGCTGAAGCCTAGTTAGCCTATAGGAAAATCCGGCCCTGGCAGCATCTCATTTGAAAAGCATTGTGAAAAAATAGTAAACATCTTAACTCATGTACGTATTATATAACCTTGCTTTAAGAGTACATTTAAAATTAAAATAAATAATTGAAAATAAGGTATTATAAATTGATTTAGAATGAAAAAACTCTTTGGCCCAGCTTTCAATAGTGTGAGGCAGCTTCTCTTTATGAAAAACAAGTATATTATATTCATACACCACACTAAACTATGACTTGTTTTAGCACTTCTTTGTTGAATTAGCTACTTCTACTCTTATTATCTATTGAGGAAGGTTACATGAGTCTGGTTTGTAGTTCATTTTATTGGAATTCACACATTATGCAAAACCATGGTTTGTTTAGTCATGATTTGTGAATAAATCAAATTGTCTGGTTCACACTACACACTAGTTCACATGCCATGGTTGCAGCAGCTCATCATACACTACGACAGAACAGAAAGACAACATTATGGTTTTGTACAATATGTGAACTCCAGGCTTATCTTGGAGTAAAATCAGCCAGGAACATATCGCTAGTCCCCAGAAATTTATCTAATTACTGTATTTCCCTGAAAATAAGACTGGGTCTTATATTAATTTTTGCTCTCAAAGATGCATTAGGGCTTATTTTCTGGGGAAATATGGTACTAAATGCATCCATCTGGCTGACGATCTTAACTGGGGCTTATTTCGGGGTAGGGTTTACATTACGAGCATCCTAAAAATCATGCTGGGCTTGTTTTCCAGTTGGGTCTTGTTTTCGGGGAAACATGGTATGAGGCCCTCACAACAATGATCCATGCAATTAGGATTGGACTATAGCAGTGATGGCTAACCTTTTTGCCGTCAGCTGCCAAAAGCAGGGGGAGTGTGGGAGGGTCATGTGTGCACGTGCCATACGCATAATGCAATGCCCCCCCACACGCGCCACATCCCGTGCATGCGCGTGACCCCCCCACGCTCCCCGCGAATGACACGTGACCCCCCCTATGCTTCCCCCACCCCCGCACATGTGCGTGACCCCCCCTCTGTGCATGTGTGGGTGACCCCTGCGGCCCGTTTTGGGCCTGGCAGGCCTCCCTGAAGCCTCTTGAGACCAAAGACGGGCCGTGGAGGGGGCGTGCCACACACCCCCATGGCCCATTTTGGCATGGGGGGCGCACCGCTCCACCCCATGCTCCCCCCACCCCCACACATACGCACGAGACCCCCATGCATGCGCACACGTCTCCATGTGCCCCACCCTCACGACAGAGCCAAAAATCAGCTGGCTGGCGGGAGGCGCACATGCATGCGTGGTGGAGCTGAGCTGGGCGATGGCTCGCGTGCCCGCAGAGAGGGCTCCGTCTACCACGTGTGGCACGCGCGCCATAAGTTCGCCATCATGGGACTATAGCAATGCGCTCTGCAAAGGACTGACTTTTAGATGGCAGCTGTGCTGAGGCCCCTGCAGGTAGTTGACTATAAGTTTCCAAGTCCAATTAAAACTCTAACCAATAGAGGCCTATACTAAATGTTCATTCTCCAGTTTGAATCTTTTCTAATAACAGCTTTGCTGCCCAGGTAACTCATTGTGATAGAAAGCCCATGTCTCGTCTTCTAGCATGCTCATTGCAGCAAAGTAATTTCCCAGGTTTGAATCAAAATATCTTCATGCCATCCTGATTCATTCATTCATTCATTCATTCATTCATTCCATATCCCACTTTTAATTTTTACAAATAATTCAGGGCTGTGAAATATCCAACACGCTTTTTTATTTTCCTCACAACAGCAACCCTGTGAGGTGGGCTGGGCTGAGAGGTTGACCGGCCCAAATTCACCCAGCTAGCTTTCATGGGTAAGGTAGGACTTGAATTCATGGTCTCTTGCTTTCTAGCTTGGTGCCTTAACCACTAGACCAGTGTTTCTCAACCTTGGAAGCTTGAAGATGAGTGGACTTCAACTCCCAGAATCCCCCAGCCAGCTGGCTGGGGGATTCTGGGAGTTGAAGTCCACCCATCTTCAAGCTTCCAAGGTTGAGAAACACTGCACTAGACCAAAACTGGTTCCATGTACCAACCTTCTCCATGTCACACTGATCAGCACTATCATTTTATTTATATTTTTGCTGCTGAAGACATAAATGTTTCAAAGGAATCCCAAAAGCAAACTGATCCACAATCATGTTTGGAAGATTAGTATCTCTTATGTATCCTCAATTTTCAAATGGCCTATCACCTTCAACAATGCCTTTACTATGTTTCATGGTTTATTTTTTTTTAAAAAAAAAAACAATATCCAAGAAGCATAGCTCTCTTAAAAGGGGGAAAAGAAAAAGATACCATATCAGGAATGGACTTTTCAGATTTTTTTTTCCACTGTTGTAGATAAAATGATTGTTAATGCTTTGAAAGAATCGCTGGTAAGTTCCACAGTTCTGTTAAAATTCACCAATAGAGGTTAGCTGCAGCTGGAATTTTAAGGAGTGGAGTAAATATGATCTTCTGGTTGTTATTAAAGTGCAATTATCACCCACACCAGCTAGCAAGTCCAAGAACATCTGTTGTATTATGTAGTAACTTGCATCTCAATCCTCAAGTCATTTGAATCCTCTCTTAATCTTCTTCCACTTCTAAATAGGATAGATTTGACAGGTCCATCTCCAAAGACCAGAAAGCTGCTTCATGATACCTCCAACTAACATGTTGGTCATCGGAGAAGAAGCTGTCAGGAAAGAGATATACTAGGGCTATATTCCCAGCAAGGTCACAGTCACAGTGCACTGCATTCACTGTAGTGATTCACTGCAACCAAGTCCATGTCTGAAAGGCTGAAGGTATTTTATAATGCTTTATAAAATAGACGAAATCACTCATTTTATTTCTTCAAAAAAACTGCTATTTTAACCCCTTGAGTTATACAGGGTGGAGTTATACAGAGCCATATAATTCCTGTTTAGAAAGACTTACAGGAGGCTTCAGCTTCTTTGTCCTCAGGGGGAAAGCGTGCCAGAATGTAAGGGCCATTACCAACCATATCCCATTGATTTCTTGTGTGGGTAACGATTCACAAAAGTCACTCCTTTGAAAATCTATATGAGATGGGCAGAATATGCCTGGGAGAGTCATTCCTGGCATGTCCCAACCACACACTTTATAGTAGCACTTTGAATGGAGTTCAGACTCGTACTATCAACTGCAGCAAACTAAGCATAGATGGAATTCTGCAATGGCAATAACATTTTCTTTACATTTTAAAAAGAGAAAGGGCCCCTATAGAAACTGTACCGTCTCTTCTTAAAAAAAGTATTCCCTAGGGATTACCTCCTTTTTTATTATTTTTTTATTCCCAGTACTTCTTATTCAGAATTCCCGATTTAATTATTCTCTTCCTGGCGGGAGAGCTTTGTTTGATTCTCTTGTGCATTTGCTTGCAATCCTCCTACCTAAGGTTCCTAGTAATCCTTGCTTACTATATTGAATTCTACTGCATAGTGTAATATTAGTGCAGTATATGGGGTTTTCGATTCAATTGTATAGAATGTGAAGGATGCATGTTTTTGTTTTATTTGTATAGTTTTCTTACGTATGATGTACACTGAAGGGGGCATTTAATTTCATTGCACGAGGTGCAATGACAATAAAATAAAACTAAACTAAACTTGCCTATGAGGCAGAAGCAAAATTAGAACTACTGGAGTTGGGGAGATTCTGATTGGATATTCCCATTTTATTTAAAAGTAAACATTAAAACAACTACTAGAGCAGTAATTTATGCTGCAGCCTAGAATTAAGCAAATAGGATGCTTAACCTACCTTACTCTCAGAGTTCTTGAAGTAGTACCCACAGGCAGAGGGGATCCACTAAGGCAGGGGTCTGCAACCTTAAACACTCAAGGAGCCATTTGGACCCGTTTCCCAAAGAAAAGAAAACACCGGGAGCCAGAAAACCCTACCCGTGCCTGACTATTTTTTGAGCGGCCACAAAACTTGCATATGTAGTTGAATTAAACATTCTGTTTTCTTCTGAAACTTTTCTTTTCTTGGATTTATCCATGGTTGGTCTACCAGGGGCTGAAAAGCTCAATAAATCACGTGCCGGCAGGTATCACACATTAGTGGTTGTGATGCATATTTTGAGAGACAGGGAGCCGCAACAGAGGGGTGAAAGAGCCACATGTGGCTCCAAAGCCGCAGGTTGCTGACCCCTGCACTAAGGACTTACTATGGGTCTCCCAAGTTCATTTCCTTATACCTTATCCAGACATCAACAGCACACCATTCTTCTATCAGGACATCCCAACGTCATAAAAACACCCCAATTTTCTTACTGATAGAGGGCTCTCTCTCTCTCTCTCTCTCTCTCTCTCTCTCTCTCTCTCTCTCTCTGTGTGTGTGTGTGGGCATCCTCACCGACTACTTACAAATCCAATACCGCTACCATTGCCTGGTTTATCACCTGCTCAACTCTCAGCTTCTAAGCTCAAGCCATGGCAGGGCGACACACAAACCTGCTCTCCGGTGACCTTGGCCAAGGAGATCGCTTTCCTTGACATCGAAGCCGAAGCGCATCACCTCGCACCGTCGAGTTAAGATTTATTTTTTTATTTTTATTTTTTTTAAAAGTCATTTTGGAGCCCGCCCAAAACGAAGAGCAACCAAAGAGGGAAGTGAGACGAGAAGGAAGGCAAAGCCTCCCTTTCTGCGATCCTCGAGGGGCAGCGAGGAAAGCCGGAAGCTTCGGGGTTGTTGTTTTTTTGAAAAGGCACAAAAAGCTGCAAAAACGTGCAACAGGCACCGCGCCAAGAAGGCGGGCGGGCGGACGGGCGCGCTCGCCTTGCGGGACAACCTTCTTTCCCCCATTCCCCGCCGCACCGGCCCCAGCCCCTGATATTCTCTCTCACCTTTGGTGACTCTTTTGGCCTCGTTGTAGCTTTTCCACAGGTAGCTTTTCATATCCGGAGGCGGAGCGGAGGGCTGCTGTTGCTGCTGCTGCGGAGACAGCGTGCAGTAAGGCTTCGCTTTTAAGCCGCCGCGAGGAGAAAACCCGGCGGAGAGGTCAGGAAAAGGGACAGCAGCAGCCGTCCTGCCCGCATTGTCTTTCCCTGCCGCTCTGAGAAGGACCCTGAAGGTACAAGCAGCAGCCGCAGTAGTCGCCGCCGCTGCCATGACCAGCGCAACAGCTACAAAGCGCCTTCAGGCAGGAACGTCGGTGAGCCGCGCGTCGGAGTTTTCCTCTCTCCGCGCTTCCAAGCGCCGCCGGCTGAAGTCACTTCCTCACGCCCCGCCTCCTCCGGCTGGTCGGCCTCGCAGAAGGCAATCTTGGGGTCTTGGGCACCGCGGGTGGCTGTGCTAGAGCTCCGCCCCCCCTTCCCTCCCCCCCCCCCCCAGCGCACACATAGCAATAGCACTTAGACTTATACACCGCTTCACAGGGTCTTTACGGAGTCAGCATATATTGCCGCCGCCACCACCAGCAGCAATCTGGGTCCTCGTTTTAGCGACCTTGGAAGGATGGGAAGGGCTGAGTCAACCTTGAGCCGCTCAGTCCTGCATTCTAACCGCTGCGCCACCACGGCTCTTGTTGCTCAGATGAGCCTCCGGGTTTCTACTGTAGGAAGTTAGCACCCACCCCTCTCCTGGAAGAGTGAAATATTTTAGGAAATATGAAAAAGGCAGAATATTATATTTCCCTGGGTGAGAAATATGAGAATTATATTTTACAGACAAAGCAGCTCCCACCTTCCTGCCCCCCACCCTTTGTCAATGGGCCATTAAGGCCTGGGCCAGTCTACTCTACATAACAAAGATCTACCTCCTTCAGGCAGAGCCATAGTAGGAATTGCGAAAGATAGGATTAGCCCTCTACACAATAGCAGCAGAGACTCACCACATGTGACCTGGGAAGCACATGTGACCATCAGCCAGCAAGACCCCCACCCCCTGGGAGTCTGACAACCAATCAGAGTACTCTTTCTGGGCCCCAGGAAGTTCAAAGCCAGAGAGAGCATAAAAACCCGAGGATTTACTGTATCTGCCCCTTTTCTGTTCAGGAACTCAAGCCATGTGATCCTGTCCACCATTAAACCATCTTTCCAAGCAGTCTCCATGTTTCCAGTGTCTGTTTCCCCACTTGGAGCAGAACCCAGAAGGATGTTTCTTCCAACACTACGACATCCATCTGACATCCTTCGCCTTTATTCCTCGCTTTTTCAACTCTCTCGCGTGTGTGGGATCGAAATGCTTTGCTCTGTAGGAGGTTAGCACCCACCCCTTTCCTAGAAGAATGGAATATTTTGGGAAATATTAAAAAGGCAGAATATTATGTTTCCCTAGATGAGAAATGGAGAAGCATGTTTTAAAGCAGTTCCCACCTTCCTGCCCCCAACCTTTTGTTAATGGGCCAGAGGCAGAAACTCAATCTTTGTCAATGGACCATCATTTGCAACACAATAGGGCCCATCTAGGACGAAACTCACCACATGGCACCTGGGAAGATTACATCAGCCAACAAGGCTAGCTAAAACTCCCACCCCTTGGGAGTTTGACAACCAATCAGGATACTCTTTCGAGGCCCCAGGAAGTTCAAAGCGAGAAAGAGCATAAAAACCCAAGGATTCACTGTATCTGCCCTTTTTCTGTTCAGGAACTCAAGCCATGTGATCCTGTCCACCATTAAACCATCTTTCCAAGCAGTCTCCATGTTTCCAGTGTCTTTTTCCCCACTTGGAGCAGAACCCAGAAGGAGATTTCTTCCAACAGCTCGAAAAAGAAAGGATTGCGCTGATGTAGCTCATGGTCGGAGATAAGAGGCCGCACCCGGGCATTATATTGGCGGCGGTAGGGAGGAACTTCACATCTCCCGCATCTGGATGGATTGCCCCTCAGGGGGGACTGAAGCCACTTGCTGTTGGGTGGGCCAAGCCTCTTTTGGTTACTTTTGAGACATCCTGGAGGGATAAGATGATGTCTCAGACGACTGGATAGAGGGAAAAGTCTGTTATCTTCCTAAAAGTGGGGTGGGAATAGGATGCAGTGGAATAGGGGTCAGCCAGTCTTGACATTTACAGCTGGAATTTTAAACAAAGCATAAAATGATTGACTTGTAAACTACTTGTAAACTACTTTGAAAGTTCAACCATGAGGTGAACTAGACAGTGATCAGATTCTGTAAAAAGGAACTGTTGAAAAAGGCAAGGAAATTCGGAATCATACATCATCTAACACACCACTCCCAAATCAAAATACTGTATTGCATTACAGAATAGTTTAGTACCATAGTATCTGCTGAGCAATAATACAAAGTGTCACATGCAAATGATTGATGAACAAACAGGAGAAGGTTAAAATGTATTTAATTAGTTTATAGCATGCTGTGAACAGCACAGTTGGGCAATCACAGGAGAATGAGATGATCAGACAAACCACTTCAGATTCCATTTGCTGGTGGAAAATGCCTCCTGAAGCAACCGTTCAGTTACAATGAAAATGAAAAAGGTAACTTAGTGACCAATCCTTGCACTTAAACCTTCACAGGTAAAGCAAGAGGAAAAAATTTTTTTTTTTATTGAAAAGTTTTACAAAAAAAAAGAAAATTCAAATATTTCCCCTTCCCCCATCTTCCTTCCTTCCCCCCCACCCCACCCCGCCACTTCCCAGAACAAAATACAGGGTAAAACAATTAACAATCATGCTAAGCTAAGCTAACCAACTACAGATTCCTATCCCCCCCTCGACACTTTAATTCGCCTTTTACTTAACTAAATATACATACTCTTAACTTTTCTATTCATTCATAAGCTATTTGATACTTTTTAGTTCGATATTTGTTTTGAATATAATCAATCCATCTTCTCCATTCCGATATGTATCTTTCTTGTGAATGATCTTTCAAATGAGAAAATTGAAGTACAATCATAAGCATAGTTGTGATTGCAGGATCCAATCTGAGTGGGTCACCAGGACCAGAGGTTTATCTAAGGTGCTGGCATTATAATAATAACAATAACAGTAACAGAATTGGAAGGGGCCTTGGAGGTCATCTAGTTCAACCCCCTGCTCATGGAGCCCTATACTAGGGATTCGAATCGGTGAGCTGCCGACCTTTCTGATAGACAAGCTCAGCGTCTTAGCCACTGAACCACCCTCAGGGAACCTCTCTCTGTGGGTTGTATTTATATGGTAGCGGGTTGTGTGGCTTTTTAGTTGTTAATTGGGGTGTTGATGGCCAGCTGTTAGCAACTAAAAGCCACACACAATCAGGCAACATATAAATCCAACTAGAACAGCCCAGTGCACAGATTCTGGAGACAGAGAGAGAAGTTCCCTGAGGATGGGCTCCAGTACAAGCCTGAATGCTTGGAAGAATAAACCTCTGGTCCCGATTATTAACTCAGATTGGATCCTGCAACATTACCTTGGGACATGTATATTTGCCTTCATTCGACAGTTGTTATTTCATTTAGTGATCACTTTGCTTAATGACCAAGTTGCTGGTGCCTACTGCAGTCATTAAATCAGCATCCCCTGTAGACTTACACAGGTATGAAAGAGTGCAGGTTTTGAAATGAAACAACTGTGTAGTAATCATCACTGCTTAGGTTTATTTGGAAAGTTAAAGTCAAAAATAAGAATGATTAACCAACTATGATCACCAATGAAGAGTGAATAGAATTGTAAAATTGCACAATTATGTACTCAAATTTATATTTATGAAATTGTCCTACACTGTCATACCTTTTAAAATAAAATAATAAGGTGTTCCTATTACTAAACTCTACAATTTGGATGGCCCAATGTACTGCCACATGAGCGGATATGCAAAACATTGTATAAGGGTTGGGATACCATCAATGGTCCAAAAATGGGCAAGCCTTTGTTAAATATTGTTATTTAACAATAAATATTGCCGCTGGGTGAGATCATCCGTGGCTTCGGGGTGGAGTTCCATCAGTACGCTGATGACACCCAGCTGAACATCTCCACCCCAGGCCACCCCAACGATGCCCTTGAAGTAATGTCCCAGTGCCTGGAGGCCGTGCGGGCCTGGATGGGGAGAAACAGGCTCCGACTCAACCCCTCCAAGACCGAGTGGCTGTGGCTTCCGGCGTCCCGATATAGCCAGCTGACGCCATCGCTGGCTATTGGGGGCGAATCACTCGCCCCCACGGAGAGGGCTCGTAACTTGGGCGTCCTCCTGGATGCACGGCTGTCTTTAGAAGATCATTTGACGGCCGTGGCCAGGGGGGCTTTTTATCAGGTTCGCCTGATACGCCAGTTGCGCCCCTTTCTAGATCGGGACTCCCTACGCACAGTCACTCAGGCACTTGTCACTTCCCGCCTGGACTACTGCAACGCTCTCTACATGGGGCTCCCCCTGGGGTGCACCCGGAGGTTCCAGCTGGTCCAGAACGCGGCCGCGCGGGGGATTATGGGGGCGACGAGGCGCTCCCATGTGACACCTCTCCTGCGCAAGCTGCACTGGCTCCCGGTGGTCTTCCGGGTGCGCTTCAAGGTGCTGGTGACCACCTTTAAAGCGCTCCATGGCTTAGGGCCGGGGTACCTACGAGACCGCCTTCTGCTACCAATAGCCTCCCATCAGCCAGTACACTCGCACAGAGTGGGCCTCCTCAGGGTGCCGTCCGCCAGACAATGTCGGCTGGCGACCCCCAGGGAGAGAGCCTTCTCTGTGGCGGCGCCCACCCTCTGGAACAACCTCCCCCCAGAGATACGTACAATAACAGACCTCCGGATTTTTCATCAGGCCCTGAAAACCTATTTATTTCAACTAGCTGGGCTGGCTTGAGTTAAATTTTAAATTGATTTTAAATTGGGTTGTTTTAATTTACGGCCAAAATATCTAATTATTTTAAACTGTTTTTAAATTTTGTATGTCCTGTTTTTTACTTTGGCTGTTCACCGCCCTGAGTCCTATTTGGAGAAGGGCGGTATAGAAATTGAAACAAATAAATAAATAAAATATTGTACCTAACAACATGGGACAACAAAGTGCTTGTATCCCCATTATTGCCAGGGCAAAAAATAGGCCATCAACTAATTTGTATTAATACTCAATTATATTACCAATACAGATAGTCCTCAACTTACGACTATAGTTGAGCCCAAAATTTCTGTTGCTAAGTGAGACATTTGTTAAGTGAGTTTTGCCCCATTTTATGACTTTTCTTGCCATAGTTGTTAAGCGAATCACTGCAATTGTTAAGTTAGTAACATAGTTGTTAAGTGAATCTGGCTTCCCCATTGACTTTGCTCGTCAGAAGGTTGCAAAAGGTGATCACA